CCGGAGGAAGGTAGGCGCGGCCGGCTCGGCTGTATAGACCTCGCGGCACGTGAGCTTTTGGCGATGCTTGGAGTCGTAGGCCGCTGACTCTCCAAAGATCATGAGGTAGCAATCCAGCGTCGGAAAGCCACCATCCGTCCCCTCGGCGTCATCCTCGGTCGGCTTGGGATCCTTCCCATGCTCCTCCCTATTGAAGCCTCCAAACAAGAACCGCTTCATGAGGCCACCGTCCTTGTATAGATACTTGACGAGGAAGGAATGGTTCAGGCATGGCCCTTCGAGCAGCTTCTCAAAGTGGTCCGGAGTACCCTCCGTGGGCTTCTGGACCCCTTGCAGTCGGCGGTGGCCACGAGCGAGCCCTCATGCCGCTGCTTGTTCTTCTTCTTGACAGGACGGTTGGAGGCGCCTTTGTCGGCGTCCTTGTCCTGCTTCACCTTGCCTTTTAGGCGATCAAAGATCGCTCCAACTGCCTCCTCACCCGAGGCATGGCTTGTGGAGATGTCGAGGAGCTCCTTGGTGGTTCACGGGCCCTTATGTCCTAGCTTATGAACCAGGGACTCGTAGGTGGTCCCAGACAGGAAAGCTCCTATAATGTCGGCATCGGCGACGTTAGGCAGCTCGTTGCACAACCTAGAGAAGCACCGGATGTACCCACAAAGGGTTTCGCCGGCCTTCTGTTGGCAGTTCTTGAGATCCTATGGGTTCCCAGGGCGCTTGTACATGCCCTAGAAGTTTGCCACGAAGATCTCTTTTAGGTCCATCCAACTTTGGATTCTGTTGGGCGAAAGTTGTTCCAACCATGTTCGCGTCGAATCAGCCAGGAACAATGGAAGGTTGTGGATAATGAAATCATCATTATCTGCTCCAACGGCTTGGCAGGCAAGCCGATAATCCTCGAGCCACAGTCCGAGGTTCATTTCCCCAGACTATTTCAAGATGTTGGTTGGTGGTCGGTACCTTGGCGGGAAGGCGGCGTTGAGGATGTGTCGTCCGAAGGCCTGAGGCCTCGGTACATCGGGGCTCAGGCTTTAGTCCTTGCCACTGTCGTAGCGTCTGCCATGATGAGGGTGATAGCCACGGCTAGCTCCCTCTCTCGGGTCATCGTTGGTACGTCTGTGGGCGTCGAGGGTGTCGCGTGCATCATGGTTGTGGCTGAGACGCTCATGCACCGGGACCACGGTGCGCTGCCTGTCACCTTGTGGCGCCTGGTGGACTGATGTATCCTTGTTGGGTCACTCTAAAGGCATGCGCTAGCTGGCGTCGATCTCACGTCACCGAGATAGCGAGCTCTCGGCCTGCTGCGCCGCCGCACGCTCGAGCAGTGTGCGAATCTCGTGGTGGGCCCAACGATCCTGGGGCATCGCGGGCCCCGGAAGCCCACGGAGCAAGGCCGCCGTAGCAGCAATGTTCTGGCTCACCCCGGCGAAGTGTGGGAGGGCTTCATCGTCCACGATGATCCTCCGATTCACGTCACGGGCCATGGTGCGCGCGCGCCCACCATCTCCATGGAGCTCGATCTCCATGCGTTCCTGCTTGAGCTGGAGTTGTGCTTCCTCGAGCTCTAGGTGCCGGGCCTTCAGCTGCTCCACCCACAGGCGGGGTGGGGCCCCTGTCTCCCCCTTGACCTCGTTGTCGAGGTCGTTCATCGGGGTAGCCTCCTCTTTGTGGATGCTTTCGACGTGTCCCTTAGGGGTACCTGTCATGAAACACTCACGAGAGGGGTGATGGCTACCCCCGCTAGAGTCAGAGCTGGAGAGCAACTCCGATTCTGCCACGAAGAGGTCGTGGAAAGACTCCATGACATATTCAGTCATCCCCACAAACTCATCATTCGCGGGGGATGGAGGCGTGCGCTGTACCACAAGGTGGCCATCGGTCTCGGCGGCGTTGCGAAGACCGAACGGGAGCACTGTTGGGGCGCTCCGGATGAGATATTCCGGAGAGAGCGGCTCCCCTCTGACAAGTTGTGCCATGATGTTGGTGAACGAGAAGGTGAAGTGGTGCAGGTCTTCTTGGGATGGTCAGGGTCCTAGGAAGACGCCGAGCTGGCGCTCCAACCTCCGTAGTTGAAGTCGAGGAGCTGGTTGCTCCCGGGGGCGTGGGCCTCCGTTGCGTGCAGCTGTAGCTCCTCAAGTGCCTCAGCGATCGCGTCGAGGCCAGCGAAGTGGAGAGATCGGATGGCGGAGGGAGCCATCGCCAATTCTCCCTCCGTCGTGATGATGAAGTCTAGGTCCCCGAAGCGCACATGCGTGCCCGGGACCTAGCTAACATTGTGATTAGCCATCCGAGGCCTGGTGTGGATGTCGAGACATGCAAAAGTCCCCTACCTGGCGCACCAACTGTCGGTGTTTTGAGTTGCCACCAACAAGTAAATTTCTAATATTACACGTCTGGCTCGGATGGTGTGCTTAGAGGACACGAGGTTTATACTGGTTCGGGCAGAATGTCCCTACATCTAGTTCGTTGCTGCTCATGTTACTAGCACTGAAAGTTTATAGTAGGGGTTATAAACGGTCGAGAGAGGGACAGGTCCTAAGTCTTTGATGAGAGGAGCGAACGAGTACTAAGAGCTCGGTCGCCTCTCTCCGCTGTGTGTTCGTGTGTTCTAATCGGTTCGGGGTTTTAGTCTGAACTGGTGTGAAGTGTTGCGCTGCAATCGATTCGAGTCTGATACCCCATGTGGGACGCCCTGCTTTCCATTTTATAGGCTAAGGGAAAGCATGGATTACAGTGGAGAAAGAGAAGAGAACGAGAGGAAGAACTCCTTCAGGATCGCTAGGTCCTTCTTCTCCTACATGCGGGCCCCGCTGACCCTGTAGACGTCAACAGGGATAGCTTCCTGTCGCGGCTCTGTCCGTCACTGGCGCCATGTGCAGGCGTCGTCTGCCGATCATGGCGCTCCACTCCATCCTGGTGGACGTCGTGGTGAACTGACGTGCCCGTCAGTGTTCGTATAGGGGTTAGGCAGAACAGTACCGGTACACCCGATGCTGTTCCTAACGTGAACCCCCAGGTATGTCCCGTCGTGGGTCGCGGGCTACATTGAGGCGTGCCAGTCTCTTCCCTGGCGTTAGAGCTTTGACCCAGGCCCATACGCTTGGACCTGGAGTGGTTGGCGGTGGTATGGGTCTCCGTCGGACGAGACGGAGCCCGCAGCCTCGGGGTCGGGCAAGGCGGAGTTCCTCCCCAGAGGCCGGGTGAGGCGGAGCGTGAACCCAAGGCTCGGGCGAGACGGAGCTCAAACCCAAGGGTCGAGCAAGGCGGAGCCAGCCCTTAGAGGTTGGGCGAGAAGGAGCCCGCGGCCTTGGTGTCGGGCGAGAAGGAGCCTGCCCCCAGAGGTCGGGCGAGGTAGAGTCCGTCCTCAGGGGTCGGGCGAGACAGAGCCCACGGCCTCGGTGTCGGGCGAGGCGGAGCCAACCCTCAGGGGTTGGGCGAGGCGGAGCCCGCGGCCTCGGTGTCGGGCGAAGCGGAGACACCCTCAGAGGTCGGGTGAGGAGGAGCCCGCGGCCTCGTTGTCGGGCGAGGCGGAGCCAACCCTCAGGGGTCGGACGAGGCGGAGCCCACGGCCTCGGTGTCGGGCGAGGCATTGCCAACCCTCAAGGGTCAGGCGAGGCGGAGCCCGCGGCCTCGGTGTCGAGCGAGGCGTTGCCTACCCTCAGGAGTCGGGCGAGGCGGAGCTAGCCCTCAGAGGTCTGGCGAGGCGGAGCCAGCGGCCACGGTGTCGGGCGAGGCAGAGCCAACCCTCAGGGATCGGGCGAGGCGGAGCCAACCCTTAGGGGTTGGGCGGGGCGGAGTTTGCGCACCTGGGGTCGGTTGGGGCTTTAGTCACGCTCTTGACAGCTCGAACGAATCAATGTTGATGGTTATTAGCTCCTCTTCGAGTACCCTAGTATTAGTCCCCGACATATAGGTTAATTAAAAACTAATTGCACAGATGAAGGCTAATTTACAAGAACGAATCTATTAAGGCCCTGTTTGGCAGGGCTTCACTTTATTAGTGAAGCCATTTTTTTGCTTCAGCTCCATGAACAGTTTCACCGGTGGAGCTGAAGCGGTTTTGGTAAACCGTTTGGTAAAATGGCTTTCCTGTGAGAACATATTTTTAGGGGCCTAGAGGAGGAGCCGGGAGAAGCCACTTTTTTGGCTCCATCCCACCACAAATCACTGTGAGAGCATGTTTTTAGAGGCTTCACAAGTGAAGCTATTTTAGGCCCCGTTTGGCACGGCTCCACTTCACCCATGAAGCCATTTTTTTTGAGCTTCAGCTCCATAAACAGCTCTATGAGTGGAGCTGTAGCCGTTTTGATAAATCGTTTGGCAAAACAGCTTCACATATAGTTTTTGGTAAAATATGCTATTAGAGAACGCCGTGTAGAATGAGGTGAAGCCGAGAGAAGCCACTATTTTTGGCTCCTTTCCACCCCAAAGCTCTATGAGAGCACGTTTGTAGGGGCTTCATCGGTGGAGCCGTTTTATTTTACCCCGTTTGGCAGAAAACGGCTCCAAGCGGCTTCTGAAGCCGCTAGAGAAGCCCTGCCAAATGGGGCCTTACTTTACCCCGTTTGGTAGAAAACGGCTCCAAACGGGTGGAGAAACCCTGCCAAATGAAGCCTAAGTCTAACTAATAATAGATTAATTAGGCTTAATAGATTTGTCTCATAAATTAGCCTCGGACTTCTATAATTAGTTTTATAATTAGCTTATGTCAATAGTCCTTTTAATTAGCGTCCGAAAATTTGATACGAGAAGGACTAAATTCCTATGTGCTTGCTGCTGAATCATCTTCATGATCATGAACTCACATATGTCACATCACACACAGGTATCATTTGATTTGCTTCGACTAATTTCAATTTTTTAATGTGACGCATTTGATTCATTCACGTCCATTTGTAACCACATTTTGGAGACATGCATAGCCCATCTCTAGTCTCTAGAAAGCATAATAAGCCACACCGCCAGTTCAGAAGCATATATGGCATGATTCGCATCTGATCCGATCAGATGGCAAGCACGAGGCCAGGGAGGTTCCTGCGAGCCCGGTCGGGTAGCAGCCGGCTCTGCCACACCTGCTTTGACGGGGACCGCGAGAACGTCGCCTTTGCCTCCTCCGCCGCCGCAGCCGCGGCGTCGGCGCCACCGCCACCTCCGCCGAGCCTCGTCACGACGAGCGCGGTGTTGCAGTACTCGCGCACCTCGGTGACGCGGCCTCCGGGGCCCACGGTCCACGCGTGCACCCAGTAGAGCGCGCCCGTCGCGTCGGTGCCCTCGGCCAGCACGGTCGGCCCGAAGGCGTCCAGGGACCGGATCTTGAACGGGAGGCCGCTGGCGCCGCCGGCGCCGGTGAGCAGGCGCATGAGCACCAGGTGCTGGTGCGCGCGCGGGCCGTGGAACCACCAGTCCACGTCCGGGTTCAGCAGCCGGCGCACGGCGTCCACGTCGCCGCGCTCCAGCGCTCGGTACAGCTCCTCCACCACCGCCTTGCTGCTCACGGCCGGCGACGACTCGCCGTCATCAGGGCAGAAGCCGGCATCGCCGCCGCCGACGGCGTCGCGCCTGTCGCTAGCCAGCTCGGCGACGTGAGTAAATTAAAGGCTCAGGAAAAGAGGGAGGAGAGGAAGTGTAGCCTGCCCTGGTGGAGTGTGCGCTGGAGAAGAGGTCGGTTGGTCCTTATATAGAGGAAGGTAGTCGCTGGTGTTCGCTTGTGATGTGAGTTGGATTATTCCAAAAGCATAGAATTTCTTTTTTGTGGGATAAGCTAGTGGTAATGCGATTCAGTTGCAGGTATATACCTTGTTGCTGCAAGTTAAGTATTGGATCAGCTACTTTTTTGACAATTGGATTCAGCAAGCTATTGCTACGTAGTATGGACTCACAGCGCAGTTACCTCGACATGGAATAGTTTAGTTCATATTTAGTGAAGTGGAAGATGCTTTCCCTACCAATCACCTAAATTTACACAGGAAAGCCACGCGGCTCGGAGGGAGAGAGCATGGACTCATGTCGCAGAGGCTCTCAGAGGGATCAGTCATCAGCGCCGAACACGACACAACGTGATTGGCTGATGGTACAGTTAGGGCTAACTTGGAAGTAAGGGGAGGCACTAGGGATGGAAACTGTCGTGAAGAACTAAATAGTTATTCAAATTATTTCTCCATGAATTTTTCACTCTGGAAAAAGTTAGGGATAGCAAAGGGATTTTAGTTACCAAATTATCCCTTACAGTAACCGGGAGCACTTAGAAGACGCGGATGCTACGTGGTATATGGAGTTGTTGTTATTATTATATATATATGTTGCTGAAAACTGGAGTAATACATGGTTTCTTTTTCTTTTTTATGTCTTGGTGTCATGTTGCAGAAAAGCAACTGAACAGTAACAAAACTCCAGCTATTTTTTATGCTTGGTTTAACAAGTCTCTAGAGTACTTCCCTCAGAATCATATACTAAGTGCTAGTGATACAAAATCATAAAAATCATGGCCCTATTTGCTTGAGCTTATCAGTCAAAATCAGCACTACTTTTCAGTCATGGAATAGTATTTTTCTCTCCTAATAAATCAGTATCAGCGGCGGCAGCAGAAACCATCAGCCGAACAGTGCGCATATTGATCCCATCGGTCCAAGAGTAGTGCGCCGGACAAATATGACAGATCATACCAGGTGAGCAATGACAGGTTTAACTTCTTTATTATTGAATGAATGAATAATAAAAACACACAATAATGCTCCATTGCCAACAATCATTGAAGAAACTATAAGCTGCACAGTGGATTTCAGATTGTTTCGGATGATTCAATAGTGTTCTGTGAGAGAGAATAAGCTGAAACAAGCTAAAACAAGCCAACAGTAGACCAGCCGAACACCCTGTATGTCAATTCTGACATGCTTTAATTTTCTATCCATCCATGACATTACTGAATTTAATTTGGACGCTTGCTAAACTTTCATATGGACCGGACTCCACTAGGAATCTGCCAGCAGCGAATTTTTATTTTGTTATTACCGCTGTTCTGTCGTCGTCGTCGTTTGCATGTACAGTAAGTAGTACTATACGATCTTATTGCACTGCAGCCCGACAAAGATTAAAGAATAATGTGTCCTTACGGTCCAAAGGGGCAAAGAAAAAAATTGGCCATGCATCGATCTTGCTTTTGGCAAAAGTTAATTATGGAATGCATCACCTGGGCGAAGATCAATTGGTGAAGGCTGTGTTTGGTGATGAAGACTGATACGGGAAGCTACTATCCTGACTAGCTAGTGTCAGTCTACTCAGCCTGTCGGTTTCTGCAACGCTTTATATGCGTCAGTGCGTTTCAGGGGCTGCGGCAACCAGGGGAGGAGTACGTTAGTGTTAGGTTTACGAAAGGTTATCAGTGTTTGGTGCAATAGCCGCATGGATTACGAAAGATCGATGGGTCACGTGATAATGTCCTGTGTCGTTCTTGGATTGTGTGGCCGCTTATTAAGCATCTCCTAACTACACATAATTTTGGTTAATTACATCAGGCTGCCAAGCAAAAGAAAAAAAAATCACCTAACAGATGATGACTAAATCAAGTGACCCAATTTGACATATAACTTATTCCGATGTCCTCATTATATCCTGATCTTGAAATGCTATATAAGCACCATGCATCCAATGCTTATTCGATAAGGGAATCGCCTCAGGGAATAGGCAATGGAATGTTGGTAAAGTGCTTCATATTTAAGTGGTGTTTGAGACTGCTCCACAAACTCTGCTCCACAAACTTCACCGTGGAGCAGCTCTACAAAAAACTGGAATTTGTGGAGTACCTCTTTATGTGCTCTCACAACTCCACTATTTTTCCTCGAACAAAGTGTGTGGAGCTGAAACCGTTTGACTAAAAAACGTGAAGCGGAGCTAAAAAACATGGAGTGGAACAGTCTCAAACACCCTCTTAGAATCCTACTTGCGAGCAAGCATATATCCCCCTCAAAACTGGTATGGTATCAACAATATAGCCCAAAAGACTATTAGGCTTAGGCTATGTTTGATTCAGTTTGTAAAAAGTGTTGCTGCTGTAAAAAAAAGTATAACGTCAATCATACGGTTGAAGTTGCTTTTTCCCATAAGCAGCACCTTTCATGTAGTACAATTTTTATAGCACCTTATACTATACTTTTAGCTTTCAATTTTCTGCTTTTCCAAATGGATGAAAATAGATTGACGTTTTAGAGTTATTTTAAGGGAGATAAAGAGAGGAAGTAGGGTTTTATAGTTATTTTAATCAAACAGCTTATAACTTTCTCATAGCACATAGTGTACAGTAGTTTTTCATAGTTCACATTCCACACTAACTTTTTCAAAGCTCACAACTAAACCAAACAATCGATTATATATAATGTCACTAACATGCAGTGAAACGGTCAACCGTGCAGCAAAGCATGCATGATGTCAATGTCCACCATAGTTAGGGATGGATGAAACCGAATCAAATACAGACAGATACCAGTAATCCTGCATTATGTCCCATATCTCACATTCTATCCCCTATTTTTTCTCTGATCTCAGAACAGGATACGGATCATTCGGATATTAATATTTATCTTATATACATATTAGAAATTCGATTTTGAGTATCCAGATTTGAATACGGTCGGATATTAAATATTTAAATTTAGATAGTACTATCCATATAAGGTTTTGACCCTTTTGGGATAGACAAATATTTGAAAATATCCATCTCATTTTCGTCCCTAGCTCTAGTGCTTGGTGCATACTACTTGAAACATAAGCATTACAGGAAGGAGGTCAACCTACCATTGATGTTTGTACATATGTCAATTTTCAGCATGAAAAATTCCTCCACAGAAACTAAACGAATTGCAAGTTATAACGCAATTCACACTAAACCGAGGATAACCAGCCATATGTCAAATTAATTGTCACACCCCAAAATTTCTGATTTTGGGTTGTGCTTAGAAAACAATAAATAGAATAAATGATTTCAGTGTTGATATAAAATTTTCCAAGATTAGTTTAAAATAGTGCAAATTTAGTTATAGAAAAATATGAACTTTCAATCTTTTCCAAATTAATTTGATGGGTTTTGCTTGATGTGATGTTTGCTTGTTGCATGATTTTGTGTGGTGAGTGAGTAACGTTTTAAAAACACGTTTAGTAAGTCGTTTATCCTTCTCTGGCATGTCTCTGTTTTTTTAATCAAATACCTGCTCTCTCGATCTTAATCTTTTCATTTGGAGATTCCTAAGATCCTTTTTCTTGTGCTCCAAAACACTTCTTTGAGTTCATAATCCATCGGCCTATCTCTAAAAACTTTCTGGGAATTTTTCTGGCTTTTTCTAGAACTTTTTCCTATTTTTCTGTGAGCATAATCTAATTTTTAGAGGCTCCAAAATATCCTTTCATGGGCTCCAAATACTTTATTTGGGTTCCTCATATTCCATAATGTCTCTGAGAATTTTTCCCGAATTTTTAGAGCTTTCGGAATATATTTCATGGCTTAAATATCAATTCTGGACTTTTCTAGAATTATTTTATCCACGAAATTAATTAATTCCGAAAATAATAAATCTCTCATTTTTCCCGACGCTCAAAGCCCATGTGCAATAATCTTAATAAATCCTAACAGCCCATGCATTTATTTACTAATGGGCTTTAATATTTATTTAGGCCCATTAGTGCATGTGGAGGGTACAACATCAATTAGTACCATATTGCTAGTTGATGTAGATGTGGGAAGTTTTTCTCCCTATAAATCTGTACCAACCCCTTGGGCAAAGCACACCAAAACTACTGTAAGGGGAGCCCCTAGTTTAGAAAATCACTCGTGTAGTAAATTAAAATTTTCTCCTCCTTCTCTCGCCGTCGTCGTCGCGCTGCCCAGCACAGCCATCCTCTCCTCGGCAACAAGTAAGGCCGCTTGCCATGTTCCTGCCGATCTCCAACGTGGCTACGTCCGATCGAGTCTTTGTTCCCGACAATCTGCTATTTGCTAATCAACAATCACAAGGTACTTCTCTTCATTCTTTGCATCTTATCAACCTTGTTTGTATCAATCCGTTATATGACCCGTCCCCGATGATAATTCCGGCGAACTCCAATAGTGTGCACTGTGCTTCGTTTTTCGACAGTGCTCCCCTTCATTATCGTCCGCTTCTGTACCTGGTGAGCCTATATCTATCAATCTATTCTCCTAACTCTCATCTGCCAGCTCGCTCTCACGTTCATGTGGTCCCATGGTCATTGTGCGAGGTGGTCGTCCGGCTGTCCCACCGTGTCTGCTTGCCATGCATGCATCTCCAACAAAACCAGCCGGCGACAAGCTGCTGTCGATGCGGGACCCACAGGATACCCCGCAAGGAAGAGAGAAGATCTAGTCTAACTAGGATTCTTCCCATGTAATCTTAATAGTAGTATTATTCTGTAATCCTACTAGGAACTCTCATTGTAAACCGATTAGGATTTTGACCTCCTGACTATATAAAGGAGGGCAGGATCCTAGAGATCACGACTTCAACAATGCAACAACACACAATCAAATACAACGCAGAGGCTAACGTCGACTGGACGTAGGGCTATTACTCGACTACAGTCGAGGGCCCAAACCAGGATAAATCAACTGTCTCCAGCGTTCACCGTCGAGTTCCGCATACGTTGAAGCCCGAACATACTATCCCGGGTAACCCCGTGGCAGGCTATCGGTGGTAAAACATCGATAGCTGACGCGCCAGGTAGGGGCTTTCGGTGAATTTGCATCCGAGAGCTCGATGGACCTCGACAGCATGATCTTCTCGACGGGATCAACTTTCATCTTCGGCTCATGGATCTGCGAGGCGGGCGACAATGGCAAGCTCCAAAGCCATCTCCTCAAAGATTCGAATCACCATGAAGACTATTCTATTTCAGCG